TTCTACTTATTCTCTCAGTTCAAGCTTCCACTTTCTTACTTATTAATGATAAATGCTCAACAGAGTCAAAAGAAGAAGAAAAAACAAAATCCTGCGTTACCTGTTTTTCAAAGCAATCCTAGCATATAGGATTTTGTTATGCATATAAATGTGGTATATATATATACAAAAGAAGGCCATATATATAATGTATTAGTTTGTAAATCTACACACTCAGTAAATCAGTGGTGTCAAGCATTCATAAAGAAAATTTTGATTGTGCACAGAATGCATTTCAATGTATGTTAATTACTGTTTATCATAATGTCCGGTCAAAGGTCAAACCCAGAATGACATTTCTTTAATTTATGTGTCTATATATATTTTTATGGATGTTAATTGTCAGTTAAGTTCAGATAACCTTAAAAAATTAATCTTTATGTGTTTTTAAAATGACAAACGTACTGGAAAAATAAAACCCCAAAAGTTAGAAATAACAGATACACAATTTAAATGGTTACTACGCAATGTTGAAATCACAGCTTATAGTATTGTGAACTGAATATTCCTATGAAAATTGTAAAGGTTGGGTAGGAAATGATAAATGATGTTGTTCAGGGAATTAAATCTTTCAAAATCATCCTTATTTTTATGAGAGTTCATGACATTCAACTTAAACATACTAGTAATTAGCATGGTTTATCTCCATATGATTGTTTTGTTATCTGGTGATATACCCATGTAAGATATTTACATATTTCACATTTGTACTGTGAAATCATTAATTTTTGTGGCAAATTAATTTCCAGAGATGTTTATGTCCAGCAGCTTTTATTTTAGCTTTATCTATTCACAAAATTAAGTGTCCACAAAGTTCATGTATTATGTTTTTAGAAAAACCACAAAAATTGGGTTCCACAAAAATATAGGAGAATATAGCTTGACCTCAGGTTTAGATACTGAAAAGAAGTTCCATACTTACAGAGTGCATTGTGAGGTTACTATGGAAGCAATAGATATAGAGCTGAAATTTTGCTTTAAGTTTAACATAGAAATTTCTGTTTTTTACAATATTGTGTTGAAAAGGATCTTAAATTTGTCTCTGATGCATGATTGATGAGACTTGTTGCAAGTTTTCATTTTAGCTCTCCAGAGGCACATCAAACTAAAAATGTTTGGACTTATTTCAAAAATGATCCCCTATAAAATGGAAACTTATTTAAGATCTTATGTATTGTGTAGAACAGACAAAAAGTGGCGTTTATCTTTGTTTTGTTTGACAGATCATTTTATATAGACTTTAGTAATTATAACCCTGGAAAATACTAGGTGCAACAACAGCTGGGATAGAAAGAACTTCTCTTTAGCTCAGCGCCAGACCAGTAAGCCAGGGGTCCCAGGTTGGAATCCTAGCAGAGGCATTGAAACAAATAATGACCTCTGTTACTTTTTTAACCTGGTATATATACAGGTATGGACAAAATGTATTAATGTTTTATTGGATATCAGCTCCTCTGGTTAGTGTGTTGGAAAGGGGCAAATATGGGGTACAGGGAAGTGAGGTATATTTACACAGACTTGATAAAACAGTTATCAAAAGACTTACTGTTCTGTAATTTCTGAAATTTCAAATGTCCTTTTATGTTCATGACAAATTTTACATCAAGGCTAGTGAAAATGGAATTTGTTTAATATTTGATTTGAACAAGAAAAGTTGGTTCGAAGAAAGTTTCAAAAATCTATTCAGACTAATGTTAAATGTCTTACCTCCAGGATTCTGTAAACTAGACACCAGATATAGATAATGGAACCACACGCATGTGGGATACTTTACTTGTACAGATATTGTCTAAATTTTTAAATGTTCTCACGAGATTTGATCTCTCGGATGATAATTTCCATTGAGAGATCTGCATTACTTAAAATGATACAATATTCAAAAATTGATTTGCTTGAAAATTTTTATCAATATAATGAAAGCTATTATTCGATAAAAAGAAATTTCCTAAAAAGCGAAACCTTTGAATAATGGCTGCAATTCAAATTTTTGGATCCATAAATTTGTGTTCTTGCAGACAATTTGAATGATAGAGCTGGCACTTTGAAGCCCACAGACTATAAATATTCAACCCAGGGAGACCTGAATATTGATCTTGGACCATACTTGTGCCAAGTATTATGTAATGTTACTTGTAACTTAATGAAGGCCTGTCATACAGAATAATTTGCGTCTGACAATTTCTGGAGGTTTCTTAAATCCCACCATTTTTATCAGATGTAATTTACATATATCTTATCCTGTCTGAGATAGACTTACATTTTATGCTTTACATTAAAAATGTATAATCAAGTTTCTTTTTCCAACAATTGCCTTTACCCTTTTTTTTAAATATAGTACAGTGGAAAAACATACTGGTAAAATATTTACATGGAGCAAAAAGTGGGCCAGACTAGCTCAGATAGAATTTTGTAAAAAAGATTTGTACAGATTTGAGGTCTATAGTTTAATCCCTACCCTGGAAGGTTTATGTTTATCAGGCTGCTGTTCTGTGCTGTTTTGGCTGTGTTTTAGGGCAAGTCATCCTAATTACTGTCACTAGCAGGCAATGGACCTCTCACATGTTGTTCAGTGGGGTAGCCCCCTCAATTACTATTGGGAGACCTGTTCTTGAAGTGACTGAGATCACAGACTGTTCTGTGCTGTTATGGTTGTGTTTGAAGGCAAGTCATCCTAATTACTATCACTAGCAAGCAATGGACCTCTCACATGTTGTTCAGTGGGGTAGCTCCCTCAATTACTATTGGGAGACCTGTTCTTGAAGTGACTGAGATCACAGACTGTTCTGTGCTGTCACGGTTGTGTTCAAAGGCAAGTCATCCTAATTACTATCACTAGCAAGTAATGGACCTCTCACATGTTGTTCAGTGGGGTAGCTCCCTCAATTACTATTGGGAGACCTGTTCTTGAAGTGGCAGAGATCTCAGACTGTTCTGTGCTGTCATGGTTGTGTTCAAAGGCAAGTCATCCTAATTACTATCACTAGCAAGCAATGGACCTCTCACATGTTGTTCAGTGGGGTAGCCCCCTCAATTACTATTGGGAGACCTGTTCTTGAAGTGGCAGAGATCTCAGACTGTTCTGTGTGGTCATGGTTGTGTTCAAAGGCAAGTCATCCTAATTACTATCACTAGCAAGCAATGGACCTCTCACATGTTGTTCAGTGAGGTAGCCACCTGAGTTACTAGGAGGAGGTCTGACCTTGAAGTGACTGAGATCACAGACTGACCTTGACATCAGCATTACATAAGAGGTTGTTCACATGTAAATCAAATTTCTATCTGAATAGGGATATATATACATATATATATTGTGAAATAACCATTAAAGAAACAACGATATAGTGAAGCCATGTCATATTATGGTTAAAGTCACATGACAATATTGTATAATGTCACTGTCAACAATGAAAAGGTGTGTGGAAGTTTATTAATTGAGGTAGAAAATTTCTCTATATTTTTGTCCTGATTAAGACCAAAAATTCGGGAGAAACCGAGTGACATACCAGTACACATAATGCAACAACATACTCCATGGCCTGTTGGGACTGATTTCTTGTTTGTAGTTTGTCCCTTTACTCCAGTCTCAATACTGAGAGATATTTAAGCGAGGAACTGTCCAAACTCTTTTGAGAATCCAGGCATTGGCTTTGTTTTACTATACATACTGATTATTAACCTATTACAGCTATAAAGAACTTTTTTTTCCTTAATTTTTTTAACAAAACATGTTTTATTACAAAGATCTAATATTTTTTAATCCAATAGGGTTTGTTAACTTGTAAACAAGATTTATTCTATATGTTGACAAACTTTTAGTTTTTACTCCTCTGAGATTGATATAAATGTGCTTCACGCTTGAGAACTGAAAACTGACGGAACCTTTAGGCAGGTTTCATTATCAAGTTTTGTTTTATTGTTTTTTAAGAAGAGTTGAGGAAATTATTTGTAAGCATACAACCTTGTATAAATATACAAATGTATGTGTTTTGTCATGTCAATTAAATATCATATTTACCATTTCCTTTTGAAATAAACATAAAGAGGTTAAATAAGTGCTAATGGAACACAGTTGTTTATTTTTTTTTACTTCCATTGTTTGTTAATTCTGTAACAATTTTTTCATATATTAAGAAAGATCTAGCTACCTCTAGGCCTGTAAAACAGAGCACTGAACCGTCAATTATGTTAATGATTTACAATGAAAGAACGGTTTGTTATTGTTAGACTGGTGAAGCATAACTGTGCTAAGTGTTAACGAGTTTGTTATTGTGATCTATATCTTGATTAGATACTGGTTAGGTTAATCAGACAGACAGTGTAGATATACACTGCTGCTGCTGCTGCTGCTGCTGCTGCTGAAGAAGCCTGGCAGGAGTCCAGGGTAAGTCACAGGTCACAGGTCAAAGGTCACCTCCCACACACTGAATGAGTAGTAGGTTTGTAGTATTTCGCAATGTTTTCGTTCTGATTCTAGAGCGATGATCTGATTCGATGCCGGTAAACCACAACACCAGTTAGCCACTGAAAACAAGATTCTGCTATTTTTTAGAATGATATAGCTGTTTTATACAGTGTGTTTAATTCTCCACATTCTAAGAACATTACTTGGACTAAATGATAACATTTCCATTGACTATTAGACTGGATAAGATTTATGTTTCATACCGAAGGAGAGCTTGAGGAGTAAGCATTCACAAACCTCGAATCAATATGTAAGTATCATTTTGATGTGATTTCTTTCATAACATAAAACTTAAGTTTGAAATAAAGTTGGTTCTGAAAAGTGATGGTGGTGGTGACAATGTTACAAGTGGGGTTGTGAGACAGGCTGAAATTGTGTTAACCAGTGAGGGTATGACAGGGGGAGATGATTTTGTTATTAGTGAGGGTATGACAGGGGGAGATGATTGTATTACTGATGAGGGTATGACAGGGTGAGATATTGTGTTATTTTTGAGGGTATGACAGGGGGAGATGATTGTGATACTAGTGAGGGTATGACAGAGGGAGATGATTGTGTCACTGGTGAGGGTATGACAGAGGGAGATGAATGTGTTACTAGTAAGGGTATGATATGGTGTGGTGAATGTGTCACTTGTGACAGTGTGACATAGAGAGATATTTATATTGCTAGTGAGGATGACAGGGTGAGCTGTTGTGTTATTAGTGAGGGTATGACAGGGGGATATGTGTTATTAGTGAGGGTATGGCAGGGTGAAATGATTGTGTTACTGGTGAGGGTGTGACAAGGTGAGATGACTGTGTACTAGCGAGGGTGTGACAAGGTGAGAGGATTGTGTTCTAGCGAGGGTATGACATGGGAAGATGATTGATCTCTAGCGAGGGTATAACAGGGGGAGATGATTGAGTTACTAATGAGGGTGTGATAGAGGGAGATGATTGTGTTACTAATGAGGGTGTGATAGAGGGAGATGATTGTGTTACTAATGAGGATGTGATAGAGGGAGATGATTGTGTTACTAATGAGGGTGTGATAGAGGGAGATGATGGTGTTACTAATGAGGGTATGACAGGGGGAGATGATTGTGTTACTAATGAGGGTGTAATAGAGGGAGATGATTGTGTTACTAATGAGGGTGTGTTAGAGGGAGAAGATTGTGTTACTAATGAGGGTATAACAGGGGGAGATGATTGTGTTACTAGTGAGAGTGTGACAAGATGAGATGAATATGTTACTAGTAAGGGTATGATAAGGTGAGGTGAATGTGTCACTTGTGACAGTGTGATAGAGGGAGATATTTATATTGCTAGTGAGGGTGACATGGGGAAATGGTTGTGTTACTAGTTAGGGTGACAGGGGGTGATGGTTGTATTACTAATGAGGGTATGTTGGGAGGGGGGGTGATTGTGTTACTAATGAGGGTGTGATAGAGGGAGATGATTGTGTAACTAATGAGGATGTGATAGAGGGAGATGATTGTGTTACTAATGAGGGTGTGATAGAGGGAGATGTTTGTGTTACTAATGAGGATGTGATAGAGGGAGATGATTGTGTTACTAATGAGGGTGTGATAGAGGGAGATGTTTGTGTTACTAATGAGGGTGTGATAGAGGGAGATGAATGTGTTACTAATGAAGGTATGACAGGGGGAGATGATTGTGTTACTAATGAGGGTGTAATAGAGGGAGATGATTGTGTTACTAATGAGAGTGTAATAGAGGGAGATGATTGTGTTACTAATGAGGGTGTGAGTGAGGGAGGGAGAAGATTGTGTTACTAATGAGGGTATAACAGGGGGAGATGATTGTGTTACTAGTGAGGGTGTGACAAGGTGAGATGAATGTGTTACTAGTAAGGGTATGATAAGGTGAGGTGAATGTGTCACTTGTGACAGTGTGATAGAGGGAGATATTTATATTGCTAGTGAGGGTGACATGGGGAAATGGTTGTGTTACTAGTTAGGGTGACAGGGGGTGATGGTTATATTACTAATGAGGGTATGACAGGGGGAGATGATTGTGTTACTAATGAGGGTGTGAGTGAGGGAGGGAGAAGATTGTGTTACTAATGAGGGTGTGAGTGAGAAGATTGTGTTACTAATGAGGGTGTGAGTGAGGGAGGGAGAAGATTGTGTTACTAATGAGGGTATAACAGGGGGAGATGATTGTGTTACTAATGAGGGTGTGACAATATGAGATGAATGTGTTACTAGTAAGGGTATGATAAGGTGAGGTGAATGTGTCACTTGTGACAGTGTGATAGAGGGAGATATTTATATTGCTAGTGAGGGTGACATGGGGAAATGGTTGTGTTACTAGTGAGGGTGACAGGGGGTGATAGTTGTATTACTAATGAGGGTATGACAGGGGGAGATGATTGTGTTATTAATGAGGGTGTGACAGAGGGAGATGTTTCCTAGGCATTTGATTTGATTGAAAAATAGCACAAAAATTTTCCATCAACAGTAAAATTTATCCATTACTAGGTACATAAATTCATTGAGTACCAACAAATTAATAAAAAATAAATAAAAACTTGAAAATGAATTATTTTAGAATTTTGATTGTCTGTTAAAAACCTGTACTAAATTACTTCGATTATTTGACAAAATAATGAGCTGATGGTTTGAAATAACTGAATATTATTGATAGAAGAAATATTAAAACCATTTCATTGATGCCAAAGTTTAAAAATAAGCACTGTAAGGGAACTTGTTTGATGTTATGAACGTTTAGAGCAACATCTTTTGGAATGAAGAATTTTTGCATCTATAGTACCTGTTATATAAACAAATTGAAGACACTATAGTGCAGTCATGTATCAATGCAATGCTTTCATCACAAAAATCTCTAAAATAAGTTGACCTCTGAAATAGTTTTTTACAGTAATTTGCAGAGTTAATGAATGACACACAAAAGTTTTTATGATCTCCAAAATGAACACAACAATTATAATTCTTTGTGGAAAATAATTAAGTATCAAATCACACAAGTTCGTGAACTAAAAAAGCTTCAAGATCATTTAATGATATGGAAACCTAACCACAATGCCATATGTTTCAAGTATCTTTACCACAATACCAAATTTATCGACTATCTTTACCACAATACCAAATGTTTCAGCTATCTTTACCACAATGCCATATGTTTCAGCTATCTTTACCACAATGTGAAATGTTTCAGCTATCTTTACCACAATACCATATGTTTCAGCTCTCTTTACCACAATGCCAAATGTTTCAGCTATCTTTACCACAATACCAAATGTTTCAGCTATCTTTACCACAATGCCAAATGTTTCAGCTATCTTTACCACAATGCCAAATGTTTCAGCCATCTTTACCACAATGTCAAATGTTTCAGCTATCTTTACCACAATGTGAAATGTTTCAGCTCTCTTTACCACAATGTCAAATGTTTCAGCTCTCTTTACCACAATGTCAAATGTTTCAGCTATCTTTACCACAAAACCAAATTTATCGACTATCTTTACCACAATGCCAAATGTTTCAGCTATCTTTACCACAAAACCAAATTTATCGACTATCTTTACCACAATGCCAAATGTTTCAGCTATCTTTACCACAATGCCAAATGTTTCAGCTATCTTTACCACAATGTCAAATGTTTCAGCGATCTTTACCACAATGTCAAATTTTTCAGCTATCTTTACCACAATACCAAATTTATCGGCTATCTTTACCACAATGTGAAATATTTCAGCTATCTTTACCACAATACCAAATGTTTCAGCTCTCTTTACCACAATGCCAAATGTTTCAGCTGTCTTTACCACAATACCAAATGTTTCAGCTCTCTTTACCACAATGTCAAATTTTTCAGCTATCTTTACCACAATACCAAATTTATCAGCTATCTTTACCACAATACCATATGTTTCAGCTATCTTTACCACAATACCAATTGTTTCAGCTATCTTTACCACAATGCCATATTTTTCAGCTATCTTTACCACAATGTAAAGTGTTTTAGCTCTCTTTACCACAATGCCATATGTTTCAGCTTTCTTTACCACAATGTCAAATGTTTCAGCTATCTTTACCACAAAACCAATTGTTTCAGCTATCTTTACCACAAAACCAAATTTATCGGCTATCTTTACCACAATGTGAAATGTTTCAGCTATCTTTACCACAATGTGAAATGTTTCAGCTATCTTTACCACAATACCAAATTTATCGACTATCTTTACCACAATACCACATGTTTCAGCTATCTTTACCACAATGCCAAATGTTTCAGCTATCTTTACCACAATGTGAAATGTTTCAGCTCTCTTTACCACAATGCCATCAGTTTCAGCTGCCATCTCTAAGTTTTTTATTTTATTCCATGTCAGGAGATTTTACAAGAGACTTTACAAAAGTTTATTACCTGTCACTGTGTCTAACGTGAGCCAATCTTTGTGTTCCATGTCTGTGACATTGTAGCAGTTTCTCATTACAGCTTGTCATTATTCATGTCCACCTTGGGCTAATCTTTGTGTACCAGTCTGAATGATATTTTACAGTATGCCACTGACTTTTCAACAGTTTCTCATCACAGCTTGTCATTATTCATGTCCACCTTGGGCTAATCTTTGTGTACCAGTCTGAATGATATTTTACAGCATGCCACTGACTTTTCAACAGTTTCTCATCACAGCTTGTCATTATTCATGTCCACCTTGGGCTAATCTTTGTGTACCAGTCTGAATGATATTTTACAGCATGCCACTGACTTTTCAACAGTTTCTCATCACAGCTTGTCATTATGTCAACCTTGGGCCAATGTTTTTGTCTTGAGTCTTTTACGTCTATAACCCCCATTTAATTACTGAATTGAACTATGTGATGTACTTCCTGTTAATTAGAAATCTTGTATATCAGTCAGTTATAAAAAAAAGCAAAGGATAGTTGGAAGGGATGAATATTGATCCAAAACAAGGTGCTCCATCTTCAGCACGATTTTCTAGATCCATTAAGGCCAAACAAGTAGCATTCTTTGTTGTTGTGAACTGGTTCATTGACAATAGATCACTAGAGTGTATAAAGCTTACCTGGATAAGAAACATGGAAATCTTTAGTTAAAGCTTACTGCCTGATTCCTTTCTAGTGATGGAAGAATCAAAATACTGCATTTATTTTGTGATAAGCCCAGGGCATTAACTCAAACATGTGATTCAAAGTAGAGGGTGGGCTTGTTACAGGAATATGATATAGCATTGGCTTGTATTTCTAACAAACGGCAATAAATGTTATTCGGAAAGAGTCTCGGGTACTTCCATCGGATTTAATTTGCCTTGTTGTTAAGTTTTGGAGTTTTAAATGAAAGCATTCCACAGGGATGTGTTGTATTGTGATAAGATGATGGCAACAATCCGTACTGTATTCATTGTACAGTTTAATGACTGTCCTAATCCTTGTGTTCCAAGTTCAATAGAAAGATGTGTAGACTCTATATATATATATAAAAACCACAATACCCTTTTAGTGAATTTCTTTGCCCTGTTTTACAGCTTTTTTATGAGTAAAAGTGTGTATTTTTCCCAAAATGATTGAAAATTCAAAATGATTTTTTTCGATTTTTCTCTGAAAATCTCATCAATTTATGTGGAGGCAAAAACAGCTCTGTAAAATCAAGGGAGAAGATGTTCTGGCTTCTTCACAAAAGGTATAACTACCATAGTATCTGAATATTGTGATCATGTTAAGATATATTGCCAGTATACATATATATATATATATATATACATCTTGGTTCCATCAAGTTTTGGGGTGTAGGTTTTCTTACTTCACAATTACCTCTGTTGTTCAACTTATCAATGTCTTGGTACATTCAGAATTCTTCTTGAATGTAACCCAAATCTGATTCCCTTTATTTTTTTTAAAAGGATGTTCCTTTTAAATCACAACTGAAAATTCTTTTAAAAATATTTTAGGAAGTTGTCAGTTTTAGTGATTTTCTGGTGGTTAGGTAATATAAGATAACTGAACAGTCATTAATGTTGAATTTAATATTCATCCTTTTCTGCTTGAAAAAATTTTTTTTTTACAAGATTTCTCATTCAGATTGAGTCTTGAACACCTTGCTTATCATTTCTATATCTGTAAACGTTTTATTGACTGGGTTGATATCTTGTCCTGTTGAATAGAGATATAGTACCTCCTGGGAGACTGTGTGTAGTCTATTCATGACTATTTATGGCTTTAAGAGGCAATACAACTTCTTTGTTTGACCTGACGTCTGCTCATGGGGATCAACATAGCGTGCTTCCAGGTAATCGGGCAGATAATGAATATTTTACGGTCTATAAAGCTGGGGATGGGGAGCATGATATGGAGGAATATGTTGATGTATACGGGGCATGTAGAAAGCAAGAACGAGAAGGGGGCTGCACAATTCACCTATTCCATTAATGGCTAATTTTACTGGTGAGTGAGAGAAAGACTTAGGGATGAAGAAAGGCAAATCTGATTGCCTAAAGGCAAAGAAGAATTAAAGACGATTGGACAAGAATATTAGCTTCATGATGGAAAGAAAATAAGGATGACTTAGGGATGAAGAAAGGTCAGACTGATTGCCTAAAGGCCAAGAAGAATTAAAGATGATTGGACAAGAATATTAGCTTCATGATGAAACAAAATAAGGATGATGGTAGTTCAGATTATTGAAATATTAGGATGAATAGAAAGGATGAGAGATGAAGATAAGAATACTTGACTAAAGATGGAAAAGCAAGAATTAGGAAGGGTAGATGAGACTAATGAACTCTGGATGGAACAAAAAAATTAAGAATGACACTTCGTGAGACCATTGCTTAGGGAGGGAAAGAAAGAAACTGGGGAAAAATGATGATAAATGACGTACGGATAAAAAAGAACAAGGGTTGAGAGGGTGACACTATTGTCTAAGGATAAAGGAAATAATGAAGAATGATTGACTGGGGATAAAGAGAAAGAATGAGGAATAATGGGGATGAGATTGTCTAAGAATAGAGGAATATGGGATGAATGGTGAGGGTATTGGGTAAGGATAGAAAGAAAAATGAAGGATGAATTTTAGGAGAGACTCGGACATTGAGGATGGAAAGAAAGAATAAAGAATGACAATATGTTACAAAATGTAGTTATTGCTTTAAGACTGAGAGGAATGAAAGAAGAGATGGTTAGGATAGAAGTATTATTTTGGATAGAAAGAAAGAATTAGGGATGGGGATATGTGAGAATCTTTGCCAGAGGACAGAGAGAAGACGTAAGATAAAAGATCTAGAAAATAGTTGAAATCTTAGAGAAAGAAGGATAGAAAGAAGAATCAACAGTGATGGAGAGGATGTACAATATATACTTGTTTGTGAATTCATGTTATCAAATTGTGATAAACATTTCATTCTGAAATCAAATTCCATTTACAGTTCATATCAGCATTTCGCTCAGAAATCAAACACCATTAGTTTTGTTTGGAGTCATGAGATTTCAACATATTTCATTCTTCTCTGAAAAGTATATTGATTAAAATGCTGTCTTCTTATAGTAGGATAAAGGAATTAACTTGAAAGCGAATTGAAATTCTAAAGAGAATAAAAAAGGACTGATTTTAAATACTCCTTCATCTTGTCGTTATCTGGGGTTTCTTACATAGGTTCTTGGTGTCTGATCTTTGAAATAAAATCCATTTGAATGTCATTCATGAAGTCTTCTGATCTTCTGCTTCAATTCCTGTTTTACAAAGCCTTACAGTTCTAAAACAACTAAATTATTGCTATCATGAAATTATGAATGTTTTCAATCAGGACAACGATTCATAAAAATAAAAAATTTGATTTTGTTATTGTTAATTCACCAGATGGTTCAGGGTTTGGTGCCCAGGTGTTAGAATACACAGATGATAAAACATAGATAGGTATATAGACCAGGGCCTTCACAGGATCATAAACGCCAGCTGTTCTCTGTAGGACTGATAGTATTGGGATTTATCCCCAATTTTGACAAAATTCAGTTATCAGGAACACATGGATATGTACATGATAGGTTAAACAGGGATCTTATTTGAAGTAAAGTTTTGTATGTACTTACAACCACAGCAAGTATGATATTTCTTGTTTATCACAAATTCTGTTTCTTCTTTGATAAACTTTCCCCAGGTGCAGGGTGATATGACTTCCGGCATTATGATCCCCCTTGAAGAACTCTTTTTCGAATGGAGATAACATAATTATATTATCAGGATTCCTGATTTCAAGTGGTAATTCACAATAGATGTCATGTGGTGAACAAATTCATACAGTTAATTCTTGGCTCACATTGTTACATTTTGAACGTGAGAGTTTCCCAACATCAAGTTCATTACCTGGATAAGATGGCATTATCATCATTATTTTTTTTTATTGAATTAATTTTATCTTATTGAAATGGTATCTCCAACTATGAAAACGTTATTTTAGTATGTAACAAAAAAACATTTCTGAATTTTGTACAAAACCTGATGTTAAAAATCTTCTGGGTGGTTGCATTAAGAGTGAAAATTGAATACTGATGATGAATTCATTGTTTGGCTATACTTAGTCTTATGTAAATTTGTATTATAAATGGTGTTATTCATTTGTGTCTTTTTCGCAGTATTAGTGGTAAACACTACTGGTTAACAATAAATTAAATCCTGAAGGTTTACTGTAACCTTCAATGCCACATTTTAATTCATTCAAATAGTGGCATTGTTCAGAACATACTCCTGTACCTGACTTTTGTTCTAAAGTTATCAGATATATGACGTTGTTGAAATTTACTTAATAACAATTCTAGTGCACCTTCCTATCTAGATTTTGACACTTCTTGTGATCAATTTTGGATTTTCTTTAGTCAGTAAGGTATAGGCTCTTAGCATTAATATATGATGCAGTTTAATCCGCTGTTTGGCTCTACAGTATCTTATGCAAATTTGTATCAAACGATGCTATTTATTTACGTGCCACAGTACAGTCTTCATTCATATCTTGAAAAAACATACTTTTTTGTGAATTAATGATTAATAAAGTTGTAGTTGTGTTCTATTAGGAATTCGGTTTCATAAAAAAAACGACACACATATTCAGGTTATAGAGCCTGTGTGACACATACAGCTATCTTATTACTTATATCTGTTCACATTTCTCCAGGAAAATGGCCACAATTTTATTTAAGCCCACCCTCTTACTATACAGTTCCTAAGGAAGTAATTGTCTGCTGTGAAGCAGGAAGTTGATTGAAGATTTGGAGCGTTGCCATTGGTTACAGAAATGTCTACCATTCATATGTCGATGAGCCTTTACTGCTTTTTTTTTTGTGGATTTATTTTAATTATTTAATTGATGAGGTCAAAAAGCCTTGAATTAATTTTTTGATTTATGACATTATCATGAATGTTATGGTGTATATTTTAATTTTTGGTGCTTGTCAACAGAAACTTTATTGTGGAGAAAAAGTGGAGGAATAAATTTGGACTTGGGGGAAATACGCTTTTTTTCTTTGGAAGAAAATTAGTGAAAATCAACAGAATTATTCAATTCACTTAAATGAAAATTAGTCTAACATTCAATTTTTTTTTTTTAAGTAATTTGACTTTTCACCAAATCCTTAATTATGATGCATTCATTTTATCAAGATTTAGTAAATTATAGACTAAAATTATTTTTGTAACAGTACATAGCAGTGTGAAAAATTGCATGTATACTGCTTGGTCATAATTCAATTACATAATTACATTTACAGCATACGAAGTGTCAGGGTTTTTTTGCCACAAGGCACTTCTGTAAACCAGTAGCACCTGTTAATGCTCAAAGAGTGTGTACATGGATTTAATTACATTAATTAAGCAATTAACAATTCCATTTCTTGTGAAGAGGGCATTATGGAGTCGGGAGTCATTTGTAATATAATCAGGAGCAGATTTCATTCAGAAATTTTTCTTTTGACACTACAACTGGGGAGCAGATTTATAATATCCATTTAAGTATGACTATCACCTAGAATAAGGATGGTTGAATTTTGAAAGTGTGGTTGTCATATGATCAGATTGCTGATACTAATATACTGACCTCAATATGTGTGAAATGATGTATTACTATAGTCACACAATCAAAAAAGTTTAGGAACTGTAAAGAAACTAGATTAGTCATTGAATAATTGATAATACTGTATATCTCTATTGGCCATATGTAGTTGATGTAGGCATCAATTTCTGGTCTTGTGTGTTGTCCTTTTCCTTAATTGAAGTCTTAAATGCTTTGGACTTTTGTTTGTGACATGTCATCTGTCAAAATTGATTTTACAGGCTCTTCTAAGGTACTGTTTCTATGAATACTAAACTGAACAGAACATATACAACACTTTCAGTACTGATTCTTACTTTTTTCTGCTTCAAAATGTAGAATTTCATAGGTTTGTATTAATAATTTCAAACAGAAGTTTTTGATACAAATTAAAAGCTGTCTAAATTGCAGTAAATCTTTTAATTCATTTTTTTTTATAATTTAGACCAGTTTTAAAATTAATTTCATTCTTCTTATAGATTTTGTAATTACAAATTAAATTTCAGGTCTCTAGTATATATTTCTGTGAAAAAAGATGTTGATGTCATCTTCACACTTTTTCATCCTGTTACAAACCAGGGGTCAACATATTACCATTGACTCAAAGGAAGGAGATGGACTTAGTACAGGAAATGAAATCACATTTGTTGAATAAGCTACTAATCAAATATCAATATAACTTAGTTGGGTTATTTCCAGGCATGAGCTTATTGCCAGGTAAAAATGTTTCATTGATGATTTTTTAAAGGTGAATTAAATACATTTTGAACCACATCTTTGCTTGGTATTTTTACAGGTGCAGACTTCAGTGTTGTGAACGGACAACAGTGAATAAACAGAGTGAGATCATTGGATAATTGCAAAGGTCGTCAGAGGTCATGAATGTTAGCTCGGCATGCATTCCTCCACATATTGCTGACAGAGAACTGAATGGCTGCTAATTGCCTCAATGATTGAAGATAGGAGGTAAGTTTAGATGATTGATATCAAAGGTCAAGGTCAAAATAAAACCCTGCATTAATCTGTTTGATATGCAGAGAAATAAAAATATGCTTGAGTTAAGAGTTCAGAAAAAGGGGAGGAAATTTATCTGCTCATCATAATCTGCTGTAAGGGCAAGTGCATGTGCTTAACCTGCATTTGATTATGTGTCAACTTTATTAGAGAGGAATTTTCCCCGTAATTTGCAGACCAATGGTCATCAGGATTGTTTGGCCAGTTATACACTCCTGCAGATACAGAGCATATAAATGTAAGATGGCTGAATGAAATATACATTATTTCAATCCACTACATCCTTTTGTATATCAGGAGAGATAATTCATCTACATCCCTTTATTTATATGAGGGGAGATAATCCTTGTACTGTCTCCAGTACATCCCTTTTTCTATGAGGGGAGATAATCCTTGTACCGTCACCATTACATCCCTTTATATATAAGGGGAAATAACCCAGGGTATGAAATATACAGATAAATTCAAAATTGACATGACAATGTTTTCTGTGGTAATGTGTCCCCATTAATGACCCCATGTAGCTATCGACTACAGACTTTTGATTGAATATTAAAATATCTGTGGTCCTCATGGATGACCCCACAGAATTATGAACCTCAGACTAAAGAAACAATACTAAATTGTTATCTCTGGTAAACTGCCCCCCATGGATGGCCCCACACAGCTATAGACAACAGACTATAAAAACAATACTTAATTGTTGTCTCTGGTCAGCTGTCCCCCCATGGATGGCCCCACACAGCTATAGACCACAGACTATAAAAACAATACTAAATTGTTATCTCTGGTAAACTGTCCCCATAGATGGCCCCACACAGCTATAGACAACAGACTGTAAAAACAATACTGAATTGTTTTCTCTAGTCAGCTGCCCCCATGGATGGCCCCACACAGCTATAGACCACAGACTATAAAAACAATACTGAATTGTTTTCTCTGGTAAACTGTCCCCATGGATGGCCCCACACAGCTATAGACCAGAGACTATAAAAACAATACTAAATTGTTATCTCTGATAAACTGTCCCCATGGATGGCCCCACACAGCTATAGACCACAGACTATAAAAACAATACTAAATTGTTATCTCTGGTAAACTGTCCCCATGGATGGCCCCACACAGCTATAGACAACAGACTGTAAAAACAATACTGAATTGTTTTCTCTAGTCAGCTGTCCCCCAATGGATGGCCCCACACAGCTATAGACCACAGACTGTAAAATCAATACTGAATTGTTGTCTCTGGTCAGCTGTCCCCCCATGGATGGCCCCACATAGCTATAGACCACAGACTATAAAAACAATACTAAATTGTTATCTCTGATAAACTGTCCCCATGGATGGCCCCACACAACTATAGACCACAGACTATAAAAACAATACTTAATTGTTATCTCTGGTAAACTGTCCCCATGGATGGCCCCACACAGCTATAGACAACAGACTGTAAAAACAATACTGAATTGTTTTCTCTAGTCAGCTGTCCCCATGGATGGCCCCACACAGCTATAGACCACAGACTATAAAAACAATACAAAATTGTTATCTATGGTAAACTGCCCCCCCCCCCCCCATGGATGGCCCCACACAGCTATAGATCCCAGACTATAAAAACAATACTTAATTGTTATCTCTGGTAAACTGCCCCCCCATGGATGGCCCCACACAGCTATAGACCACAGACTATAAAAACAATACTAAATTGTTATCTCTGGTAAACTGTCCCCATGGATGGCCCCACACAGCTATAGAACACAGACTATAAAAACAATACTGAATTGTTTTCTCTAGTCAGCTGTCCCCATGGATGGCCCCACACAGCTATAGAACACAGACTATAAAAACAATACTAAATTGTTGTCTCTGGTCAGCTGTCCCCATGGATGGCCCCACACAGCTATAGACCACAGACTATAAAAACAATACTTATTTGTTGTCTCTGGTCAGCTGTCCCCATGGATGGTCCCACACAGCTATAGACCACAGACTGTAAAAACAATACTGAGTTATTTTCTCTGGTCAGCTGTCCTCATGGATGGCCCCACACAGCTATAGACCACAGACTATAAAAACAATACTGAATTGTTTTCTCTAGTCAGCTGTCCCCCCATGGATGGCCCCACACAGCTATAAACCAGACTATAAAAACAATACTGAGTTGTTTTCTCTGGTCAGCTGTCCCCATGGATGGCCCCACACAGCTATAGACCACAGACTATAAAAACAATACTTAATTGTTATCTCTGGACAGCTGTCCCCATGGATGGCCCCACGCAGCTATAGACCACAGACTATAAAAACAATACTTAATTGTTATCTCTGGACAGCTGTCCCCATGGATGGCCCCACACAGCTATAGACCACAGACTATAAAAACAATACTAAATTGTTATCTCTGATAAACTGTCCCCATGGACACAGCTGGCCAATACCACACAGCTATAGACCACAGACTATAAAAACAATACTAAATTGTTATCTCTGATAAACTGTCCCCATGGATGGCCCCACACAGCTATAGACCACAGACTATAAAAACAATACTAAATTGTTATCTCTGATAAACTGTCCCCATGGATGGCCCCACATAGCTATAGACCACAGACTATAAAAACAATACTGAATCGTTATCTCTGGTAAACTGTCCCCATGGATGGCCCCACACAGCTATAGACCACAGACTATAAAAGCAATACTGAATCGTTATTTCTGGTAAACTGTCCCCATGGATGGCCTGACACAGCTATAGACCACAGACTTTGTATAGAATACTAGAGTGCTATCTCTGCAATGGTGTCACTGAAGATATCCACTAATAACTATTGACCATAAAATGCTTTCTTCTGAAATATCGAAAAGCCTATAATCATTATATCTGGCCAGTATGTTCCTTTTATGAAGTCCAAGAAAGTTTGCAAAAAGAAATGACCTTGACCCATAGTCAAGGTCACAGGGGTCAAATGTGTTAAACCTTTGAATGACATTTTCTGATTATCCAAAACATCTAGGATAGTGATATTATTCTAAAATAGGTTCTCAATGATGCCCGGTAATATTTGAGAACAGAAATGACCTTGACCCATATTCAAGGTCACAACAGTCAAATGTGTTAAACCATTGAACAACTTCTGATTAACCTAAAGGCCTAGGATCATAATATTTGGCCAAAAGGTTCCCTTATTGGTGCCCACATAGTGTGTGAAAAAAAAACTTGACCCATAATGATATTTAAGGCCATTGGGGTTAAATTTGGTAAAATAGTTAAACAACTTAACCAAAAAGCCATCATATTTGGCCAGTAAAGGCTTATATACAGATATGTAGAACCTTCCTGACTTACTGAATGGGACATATTTGGCTGGGAGTTTTCTTTGCATGATTTACACATAATTATAAAGACCTTTTACTGTGGCATCACACTGTTCCCAAAAAAATAGATTGGGCCGCGCCCACTGGAGGTCTGGAGGGCTTAGGATAAGTAATGTTATGCTTGGGATAAGTAATGTTACGCAGTGAAAAAAATACACGTGAGCCAATTACTTATGTTCTATTCACAGTATTAAAATAAAGAATACATGACGGGAAAGGGAATTGCAAGAGCTTCATTTTGATGTAAGATTCTTCATCATTATAGTATAAATAAATAAGAAATTCTAAGTTGAACCATTCGCTATGCAATGTTTATAGGTCTACAATAAACTGTTATCAGTAGATCTCCAGTGGGCGGGGATTACCTGACTAATGATATGCATGAAAGGTCTTAATATTGGTTTTAAGTTAGGATTATGGTTTATAATTATATGTACCTATGTATATGTATAATTTTTCCTGTCTTTACATTTAATTGTTTTCTATTTATCGTTGGCTTGTACAAGTCTAAAATATGTTGTATTTGTGTTTGTAAACAATGATATAAAGGGCGAGTAAGCTTCTGCTGTCCTTGGTCATCTTTCCAGCTATAACTAAGAGTCTTTCTGCAATATTGATTGACCATCTTCTCTCCTTGATTTAAAAGAAAGCTATCAATTATATTTAACTGGAAACATCATGAGAAAGTCTCAATTCAACATTGCACAGATGAGGGGGGCTCACTAATAATGGACAGAACCCATATGGAGTAATTTGTCATATTGCTTTAAGCATTTACTGTGGAACATATGCACAGATATAGTACCGTTCGTCATAAAGATCAAGGTGAGCGATACAGGCCTTCTGGGCCTCTTGTCTATGGTAAGGTGTCCCAGTGGATAGTCTGACATGGATATTGATCCCAGACTATATAAAGAATATAAAGAAGGGTGTCCCCATGGATAGCCTCACATGATTATTAACCATATACTATAGAATACTGAAGAGTTATTTATGGTAAGGTGTTCCCGTGGATAGCCTCACATGGCTATTGACCACAGAAACCACATAAAATACTATTAGTGTTATCTTCCAATTCTAAACAGGTGTCTTGCTTCATTCAGTCTGTCTTCAACTGATATCAGAAGGGGATCATACAGGCGACATACATGTCTGGCATTTGGATACTATGGAAACTGAAATTAGATTTTTGATATATGAAAGATTTTATAGTGAATTGCTGATATGAAATTAACAAGGAAGAAGATAAATGATTAATGGTTATTATCTCTCTAAACAGGCAAAGTCTTAATATGTTTGTATTAAACATGCTTGGAAACCCTGAGTAGAACAGCACACATACACCTGTTTCTTGGGGAGACAAGAGACTTATTCCTGTAAAGGTAGGCATGCATTTCAGCCAATAATGAACCTTTGTTTTGATGGCGAAACACATCAGAGAATAAATGAGATTTCATATACAATGCCAGAGTCTATGTGTAAAACCTCATCTACAGATTGAAAATAAATTTTCTCGGTTATCTATTATTTTTCCCAACGGCTGAGTTACCATCTTATAAAATATTAAACTTACATCCTAC